GTGCCCGTGGGCTTCTGGCCCCTCGGGTGGACAGCGCTGGGTGGGGCCCGGGGCACAGGGGGCGACGCCGGGATCGGAGGTCAAATGAGCTCCAGGGCGCCGGGTCTGGGAGGTGCGTGGACCGTCTTTCAGACGGACGTCCTCGGGGGAGGACGGTACCCACTCAGGCTCCGAGAAACCTCCAGAGGGAAGCCGGGCTCGAGGCCCCGAGAGGGCAGGGTGGGGCAGGAGGCTGGGATCCCCACCTGGGGCCCCGACGGCGGCCCTGTGGGCCTGGCAGCCCCTTCCTGACCTCCCCGACTTCAGTTCAGCCTGGGCGCCTGGGAACCTCGTGGCCAATACACCTACACGCCAGACACACATGCACGCTCACGTGCACACGCTCCTGTGTCACACCCATGCACACACAGACATGCTCACCTGCACACACCGGCTCACACACACTTCCACTCACCATGGACACACACACCATCACACGCTCGAACCCATCCCTACACCCCCACTCTCACGTATATCCTCACACAACACACACACACAGTCACACACAATGTACACACTTGCTGAGCTATACTCCCACCATCTGAGCTCATTCACGCCATTGCACACTTCATACACAGACACACACACACCCTCACAGGCACAGATATGCCGGCACACACTTACATGGACACACACTCTTATGCGCCCACACACACAGCTGTCCAATAGAGCCTCACACACGGATATGCACAAACTCACACTGTCACACACACTCATACCATCACACTCACACAGGCGCGCTTTCACCCACACCCAAGCCCGCCCCGATGCACTCTGGCACACACAGCATCTCACACCCCACACCCCTGCACGGGCCACGCTCCCTTCCCCACCCCAGCACGGTACTGGACACACACATCAAAACAACTCACACGTCCACTTCCTGATTTACAGCAATCGATACTTTCTCATCACCATTTGGAGGGTCGATTTGTACCGATTTATTATTCATGTTAATGAATACCCTCATTCACCGTTCGGCATTATCGCTGACGTCCTCGGCCATGGGGTTGTGAGTGCTGTTGTCTGGGCCTGGCTGTGTTCCCCAGTGTCTTCCGCGCACCTGGCCCAGCAGAGGTGTCCAGTTCACATGGGAAGGGATGAACTCGAGGGTGGTGCTGGGCCAGCTGAGGTGTCCCAAGTCCGACATGTCCTAGAAGAAATGTGGTTCCCAGTTCTGCCCAGAAAGGCCCCGGCCTCCCAATTTGCAGCCACCTCAAACAGTGGATTTCGTCACCTTGCCCTAATCGCCCCCCCACTGCCCTCAATGGGGAGTGACGTCCTTGCTGAGTTGGGGGCCAGGAGACCTGGGTTGTGGTCCAGGTACCCTCCCTGGAGGACCTCACCGGGCCTCTGTTACCCATCACAGGGGAAGCTGCTGGACCAGCCCTTTCTGATATCCAGTTTCTACTCACCTGGCGAGGCCCAGCAAGGTGAGTCTCCTCAGGGATGCCGGACGGGCCCTAGACCTCTGTCCACCTCCTTGTTTTTCAATACACCCCCACCTTCGGCCTCCTCCCCCAGTCCTCTGGTCCCACCCACCCGTCTCCCAGGTGAATATTCTAAGCCTTGCCATTGGCTTTCAGTCTGGTCCCAAACAGTTGGGGGGGAGAACCCTGTCTCCCAGGGCAACAGAATCCCAGCATCAAACACGTCTGCTTGCAGAACAAGGACTCTTCCTCCTGTGAGATGCCTTCCTGGCCTCCCGATGACCCCACCCTTGGGGATGGGGAGCCCTTGGAGGACTGGCTGCGACCCTGATGGCAAGGTGGTCCATGAGAGAGGAGCCTTGTGACTGTCTCCAGTGACCACCTGCAGGGAACAGTGGTGAGAGCACACTACATCTCAATCACCGGGTCTAAGAGCCACCCCTCCCTCTTCACCAGGCCTCAGTGCTTCTGATTTGCTGTGTGGCTTTGGGTTTTCACAGCCTCTCTGGGCCAGTGTACCAGGAATCGAGGGACACAGTGGGATCCTGTCTTTCCACCTACGACCCTTTGAGCTCCCAAGTTGCCGTATTGAAGAATTCACCATCTCTGGGTGGGGGCTGGGGCTGTGCATCCCGACCCCTTCTCTTTCTCAATTTTGGGGGAGTCTGGGGGAGACTGAGGCCTGGGGGAGGGGAAGGGAGCTAGGGAGCAAAGTGAGTGCCCCTGTGGTGTCAGGCAATGACTCAGACAGATGTCCCCTTCCTCTGCTCTGCAGACGCCAGCACCTCACACTCCCATGGACGCGTCATGAGCCTTACACATATGCTGAGGCTGCCGTGGGTCTGTGCCCAACACCCACAGAGTTCCAGAAAATGCCGAGCAGGAGGAAGGGCGGTGTGAGGAAGCAGGAGGGCTGGGAGAGCCCAAACGCTGGAGAAGCAGCTGGAACCTTGGAGGGCGGTCTGGGAGCCGGGGCAGAGGACTCGTGCAGGGACCACGCCGGTTCACATCCTCTGTCTGTCAGGGCCTGCCCTGTGGCGGCTGCCCCCACAGCTCAGAGCCTGGCAAACAGGGGCCCAGATGCTACCTTGGCCCTCCCTCTGCAGAGAAGCAGGAGAAGGGTTTCTACATTGCAAGTCCTCACCCAAGCTCCTCTTCTGGGAGGACTTCCCCCAGTGGTCAGTCCTATCTTAGCTCGGAGGGGCAAGGGTGGCATGCCCAGTGGAGAAGCTGAGGCATTGTGATGGCATTAGAGCTGACTGGATCTGGGGGGGTTCCAGATCCCGAGGAGTCACTGTCCCCTGATTCCTGGGGTCCTTTATCTGTAGCACTCACACCCCAAGGTCAACGTCAGGGATAAAGGTGCTCACACAGTGCTCGCTTTACCATCTCCATCACAAGCTCAGGGCCCAGGGGAGTAATGTCACTTCCAACTGGTCTTAAAGGAGCCCACTCCCTGGAAGCCACCTCCAGGGTCCTCACTGCTCAGGGAGGTAGCTGAGGGCTATGACTTCCGCCCTTTTTTTTTTTTTTTTTTTGAGTTGGAGTCTCAGTCTGTCACCCAGACTGGAGTGCAGTGGCCGCTCCCGGCCACCGCAGCCTCGACCTGCTGGGCTCCGGCGATCCTTCCGCCTCAGCCTTCCGAGTTGCTGAAATTACAGGTGCACGCTACCATGCCCGGCTAATTTTTTGATTTATTGTAGAGATGAGGTCTGGCCAAGTTGCCCAGGCGGATCGCGAACCCGCGGGCTCAGGCAATCCACTCACCTCAGCCTCCCAAAGGCGCGGGACAACAGGCTGAGCCACTGAGCCCGGCGACTTTTGCCCTTTTCATGGGAGAAATATGCAGCTCAGCACGTGTTCCTGGAGCATCCTTGAACTTGTTACCTTGCTACCAGGATAGCCCTCTTGCCCCCAAGGAGCACCTTAACCAGTGGGGTCTGCTCAGATCCGTGTTCTTGGGGCAATGGGAGGTGGGAGATGGATAGGCAAGTCCAATGCTAATCTCTTCCTATATATACATGGTGCTGCATAATAATGATTGGGTGGTACAGGAGGCATTGAAGGCCATCACAAGTCTCAGAGGGACAGAATGTCTGTGGGGGCTGTGAGTTCATGGTGAAGAGCATTCCTTGTGGGGAAAAGGCCAGGCAAGACTTTCTCCTGGAAATGGACATTTACCCAGGGCCCGTGGGGAACCCCTGTGGTGTCCAGGAACCCACATGGTAATAAACAGGCCAACAGAGCCACCCCTGTGACATTGTCTTGGCCTCTCTGCCTTGGTCTGAGTCAGCCTTGGTCTGGGACTGGGAATAAGCCACCTATGAGCTGAACTGAAGAAGGGCAACCCCCTCACTACCTGGGGAATACAGACTGATGGCAGCGGCCAGGGTGCAGGTGCAGCTGGGTGCGAGGGAGGGCCAGCCTAGCGGCTGATTTCTGCCCCGTGGCTCAGCTGGTACCGCTGTGAGATTGTCGCTGGGCCTGGCTGCTCATCCTTCAGAGGAGAGACCCCAGAGTGGCCAGCTCCTCCGTCCCTCCGGTCCCTACCTTCACGCACTCAGTGTGCTCTTGCTCTGGGACTGGCCAGAACCCCCTGCCCTGCAGCTTTGGAAGTCAGCGTCTGGGGGGAGGAGGAGGAGTGGGGAGGGAGAGTGTGGCTTTACTGTGGCTACCCGCTTTCTGATGCCAGCAACCTTTCCTTGAGGGGTAGTTGCAAAGCAGGGGTGGGATTCGGAGCTTTTCCATGGCCGGCCAGCCTCAACCTCCCCCTTTTTAATTTTTATTTATTTTACTTGTTTATTTATTTATTTTTTTGAGGTGGAGTCTCACTCTGCCGCCCAGACCGGAGTGCAGTGGCCGCTCCCGGCCCCCGCAGCCTCGACCTGCCGGGCTCTGGCGATCCTTCCGCCTCAGCCTTCCGAGGAGCCGGAATTACAGGCGTGCGCTACCACGCCCGGCTGACTTTTTGGTTTATTGTAGAGATGAGGTCTCGCCAAGTTGCCCAGGCGGGTCTCGAACCCGCGGGCTCAGGCAATCCACTCACCTCAGCCTCCCAAAGCCCGGGATTGCAGGCTGAGCCACCGAGCCCGGCCTGCCCCCTTTTTTAAGTAAAAAAAGTGAACCCCCCTTTTAACTTTTTTTTGTAGAGATGAGGTCTTGCCATGTTGCCTAGGCTGGCCTTGAACTCCTGGGCTCATGCAACCCTCCTGCCTCAGCCTCCCAAAGTGCTGGGATAGCCGGCGTGACCTCAAACTCCTTTTGAGCCTCTGCACTCGGATCACCGGGGTCCCAGACTCAGCGGGGACGCCTGCCAGGGTGGGCGGTGGGCGGACCTCGGAGTCTCTCAGCCGTGGATGCCCTCCTGGGAAACGCAGTTGGTAACAGGCCGCCTCACACCGGGAGGCTGATGCTGGACGAATCCCCGAGCTCGTAGAGCTCATCCCGCAGTGGGGCCCCACGGACTGACCACCAGGCAGGGTGCTTGCCGCCCGGACGGCTGTGGTGGGCAACCTCTCCCCAAACTCCCCTCCCCTCCCCCCAGCCTTCCCAGCCCCGGGGCCTCCTGGAGACCCTGCACTGTCTCCACCCAGCCACCGTCCCCCTGCGGCCAGGAGCCCTCCTTCTCCGTGTGCTCTGACCCCCGAAAGTCTCTGGTCCGTGGGGTCCAAAGAGCACGCGGAGCAGCCCCCTCGGACCCGAGACG